CATATACCAAGGGTGGTGGGTTTGAACCCGGCCCCAGCCAAACTGCAACAAAAAATAGCTGGGCATTGTGGTGGGCGCCTGTAGTCCCAGCTAATTGAGAGGCTGAGGCAAGAAAATCACCTAAGCCCAGTAGTTGGAGGTTGCTGTGAGCTATAACGCCACAGCACTCTACTCAGGATGATAAAGTGAGACTCTGTCTCAAAAAAAATAAATAAAAGTAATTGGCTGTTAAGGGTCATACACATAATGTATCTCATCTCACCCTTTAGCTATACCAATCTCTCTTCTGATAGAAAGGCACGGTGCCGCCTCCTTGATTAGTCCTTCTTGTCAATTCTATAGCCCAAAGTTTCTCGGTTTGAGCACATTTAGAGGTTTTAGTTATCAGTCATAGGCAGTTACTGAGTTTAAAGATTTGATATTTTAATGTTCTTTTTGGCCTTTGCTTCTGTTAAGAATGATAAGGTCTAAAACAGCAGGATCTGGTCTTAGTCATCTTTGAGCTCTGTCTCGTCCCTGTGGTTGTGCATACAATAAGGGATCATTAATGACAGCAGAAATGGATAGCCTTAGAACCAGGTATCTTAATTAAGTATGATCATAGTCTCCATAGTAGATAATATATCCAAAACAGATTTGGAAGAGGACATTAAAAGAATTATAAGACTCGGCACCTGTAGCTCAGTGGCTAGGGCACCAGCCACATACACCAGAGCCAGCGGGTTCAAACCGAGCCCAGGCCTGCCAATCAAAGACACCTACAACAAAAAAATAGCCAGGTGTTGTGGCAGGTTCCTGTAGTCCCAGCTACTTGGGAGGTTGAGGCAAGAGGCTTAATCCCAAGAGTTGCAGGTTGCTGTGAACTGTGATGCCATGGCACTCTACCTAGGGGTGACACAGACTCTGTCTCAAAAAAGAATAAATAAATAATAAAAGAATTATAAGAAAATTTAACTCAGGGCAGCGCCTGTGGCTCAATGGGTAGGGTGCCAGCCTCATATACCAAGGGTGGCAAGTTCAAACCTGGCCCCAGCCAAACTGCAACAAAAAGATAGCCAGGTATTGTGGCAGGCATCTGTAGTCCCAGCTACTCAGGAGGCTGAGGCAAGAGAATCACCTAACCGCAGGAGTTGGAGGTTGCTGTGAGCTGTGTGACACCATGGCACTCTACTGAGGGCAATAACGTGAGACTCATCTCTCCAAAAAAA